CTGACCTTATCTTTTTCAAATAAATGGTACTCATTATTAAAAGATCCGGATAAAGGTTCTTTCTTCCTCATCCTCCAAACCCCTCCTATACAAACCAGAAGAAACCGAATAGAGATTCAATTGTTCTGAGTCCAAATTGTGAAAAAAAAAAAAAAAAAAAAAAGAAAGAAAGAAAGAAATGCTAATTGATAACCGATTAATACTGTGTAATCACTAAAATTGATAAACTTGGTAAGGAAGGGAGAGAGGGGATACGAACGATGAAAAAAAAAATGGAATTACTAAAATAGAAACCCAAATTCTAGAAATCAAGAAAAATAGAAAGTTTATATTGAAATTGAAGCTTTACCTGCAGATTGGCAACAACAAACAGAACCTGCGGCAGGTACCTGAAAAGTGAGAGAGAGATAGCTAAGCAAAAGAAACCGAATAGAGATTCAATTGTTTAGAGTTCAAATTCTAGAAATCAAATGCTAATCAACAACTAACTAATATTGGGTAATCATTGTAATTAAAGTTAAGAACAATCTGAAATTTTATTGAGGTCAAATTTACAGCTAAATGAGCAATCAATTTACTGAATTATATAGTATAACTGTTCAAGCCTGAGAAAATTAAATACCTTGCAAGCACTCAAAGGATTATTTCTTGGCATGTTTACACTCTAATAATATCCACAAGCATATGTTTATTTCAGCACTTGCCTACACTTAACTATCTGAAAATAGGGAAAATTTGATAAGAGAACGCTATAAACTATTGGTAGAAAAGTATTAAAAATAAATAAATAAACTTTCGACAAAAAAAAAAAAAAAAAAAAAAATACTGAAAGCCAAAATTATTCCTAGCATCAATAAATTAACAACCAAAAAAATATAATCAATATAAATTTACAGGAAAATCAAAAAATTGTATATCAACGTTACCATAAACTTAGCCGCAAACCTAGATAAACCCATACTGAATCACACTAAAGAGAAAACACATAAGTTGTAACGCTGAAATAAAACCTCAGATAAATAAATTTGAAAAAAAAATAGTAAACTCTGGCGATTAATTGTTCTCAACAGCTTAAAACATGGTGTCAATATATATATATATATATATATATGTATATATATATATTTTATCCAACGTAGACTGCCTTCTTGACAACGAACACCAATGGAAGAAAACTTTTACCACCATCTATCAATCTAAATAAAACAACGTTCTTCAATATTTTTTGCTGAATAAATACCTCAACAGTCAACACACGATGAATTTCCCCATATTTTTTTCACGCAAACAACTCAGCATTTCACAATCTTTTGTGTCTATATGCGGCTACCAGTAAAAAACCACATAGTAAGTTGTAACCCAATTTATTTAAATATCTAACAGAACAATGATAACACACTTGAATCAAACTGGTTACACTTTCCACCCAATTCTTATGAAACATATATAACTGTAAACACGAAAAATTCTTGAAACAAGAAACAAGAATACGTGTACAAAATATATTTTTGTATTAATGATTTTGGGGTTACAATCTCTTTGTAATTTGATCATCTGATTCTATCTTTGTAGGGTGTAGGTTTGTGGATGAGCCGTTGATCCAAAGGGCCGTCGGGGCTTGATCTAAGGATGACCAGTTGATGAATGGGTCTTCAAGGGGCGTTGGGCTTGATCTTGAAGAATGGGTGTATGGGTTTGTTGGATTTTTTTGTTAATCCAAAGGGCCGTTGGGGCTTGATCTTAGGATGAACAGATGATGAACGATGAACACTTTCTTCAAGGGCCGCTAGGGCTTGATCTCGAAGGTTGAAGGAAGTTTCTTCAAGGGCCGTCGGGGCATGATCTTGAAAGGGGATTTGACGAAGAACGAAGAGGGTTTTACTAATCCTTCGGGATTTGCTTGAGAGCCTTAGAGTTTCAAAGCTTCAAGGTTTTGGTGTGTATGTAAAATTCCTTCCCTTTCCTCTTGATGGAGAAGGCTATTTATAGGCCAAGAGAGTGAATCACCACCATCCATTTTTCGGTGAAATGAGTGGAGTTGGTAGGTGAAGTAAATGTGTAATGTAGGTGAAATGAATGGAGTTTGTAGGTGAAATGAATGTGTGATGTAAGTGAAATGAATAAATGTTGTAATTTTAGTACATTGGTTAACCTTTATTTCACTGAAATTTCGGTGTCTACAAATGCCCCCACTTCAAGGCGCGTCGTATACATGTGCTTGTCACGTGTAGAAGATGCGTTTTGAAGTCCCTTAATGTAGATGTCGACCCAAGGGCCGTCGAGGCTTGATCTTGAATTGGGCTGGAAATTTCTTCAAGGGTCATCGGGGCTTGAACTTGAATTCGATTGGAAGATTTTCTGGTTTCCTCCAATCGTTGATTTTCCACAGGCTTAATCTTGAACTGGGCTGGAGGGTTTTTTGGTCTCCTCCGAAGGTCTGAACTTACTCTTCTTATTTGGAGTTGAATTTGATTCAAGGGTGGTGAATACTTGATTTTGAATCGGACTTGTGATTTCTTTAAGGGCCATCGAGGCTTGATCTTGAGTGAAAATAAGACCATGAGCGGTTTCAGGATTCAGACACATGGCAGGCAAGCACGAGGTGGAGGTGATGGCCTTGTTTCTTTGTTCAATCTTTCCAATTCATATTGAAGAGGGTTAGGGGATGAATCAGCATATGCAGTTGTTGTGTTTGCTGACGATCCACAAGATTGATGTTTCATTGTCACTTGTCTTAGCTGTTCTCTAGGCAGATGTGGTCTCTTCTCTGAAAGTGTATCAACCGTTGAAGAAGACTACTCGAGAGCAACGCTAGGTAAGCAATCAAGGAATAGATTCCAGGCAGTCGGTTCCAGATCGGAAGACTGATTCCAAGTGCTGGCTGATTGCTTTCGTTCTCCTTGCCCTGCAGGTAAGAACAAGGACAAAGGAAAGGACATGGAGAAAGCATGATATGAGATACTTTTGCTTTTGAAGACGTATTGGCGATTTAATGGCGTCGCGCGGCGAGGCTTTGCTCTTTGGCGACGGCGCAAGCGTAGGGTTGTTGAGGCTTCTTGAGCTCTTTGATTAGAACAATGATGTCGAGCTTGGATTCGACTTAAACTTCTCTGTCTGGATTATGCAATTATGCAGGGGAAGGCGTCGCGCTCCAACAATTTGTTCTAGCTCCTTGTACTGCATTCTTCTCTGCTTGTTTCTTTTTACATAGCCGAGGTGGTACGCAACCTTTTGCCTTTAGATGGTCTTTCAGACCATCACTTCTCAGCGATTCATCCATGCTTGGCAGCTTCAGTGTAAAGAGTTGACATTCCGTCACCTGTCCTGAAGTATGCGCTGAGGGAATTCAAGACTCACCGACAGTTGAAGTACGAGCACTCAAGAGCAACGCTAGGTAAGCAACCAGGTAAAGGTTCTAGGCAATTAGTTCCAGATCGGAAGTTTGATTTCGGGTTCCGACTGATTGCTTTCTTTCTCCTTGTCTTGTAGGCAAGAGCAAGGGCAAAGGAAAAGACAGGGAAAAAAGCATGATTTGAGATACCTTTGCTTTCGCCCTTGATAATATGAGATACTTTTGCAGCGGATGAATCAGCACATATATTTGTTGTGCTTGTCTCTACATACTTCGATCTACCGTTTCCTCCTGCTCATCTGTACTCCAGGCATCTGGTATCTTCTTTGGGGGTACATCAACAATTGAAGTATCTGAGAGTAGTGCTGGATAAGCAATCAGGGAAGGGGTTCCAGGCAGTCGATTCCAAACGGGAAGCTTGATTCCAAGTGCCGACTGATCACTCTCTCTCTTTGTCTTGCAGGAAGAACAAGAACAAAGGAAAGGATGAGGAAAAGGCATGCTATGAGATACTCTTGCTTTCGACCCTAATGATATGAGATACGTTTACTCTCGAAGACTTGGTTAAATAGGTGTTCTCAAGGGAAGAAGAAAACTGAGCATATTGAGAGGTTTGGTTGCAGCTACATTCTCGGCCGAGAAGAAGAGTCATGCGTTTTTGGATGTATGCCTTGCCATGAATGTTGATATATATAGGGATTTTAATGGCAAGTAGTAGTGCAGTTGCGGCTTTGTCACCCACGCTTGTAGGCAAAAGTGTGGTAGTTGGGATAATGACCTTCACGCGTTTTCAACTTTGTCAGAGATCTTTGACAAAGTTGCACGTGTTATCTGAAAAGCTGAGATTGCGTCCGAAAAGTGTTGACGAACTTTATGCAGGAAAATCCGGCTTTTAAGATTTGAAGAGTGGTGTCTCTTCGATATTTTTTTTTTTTGAATAGGTGGCTGTGTCGCCTCTCCTTTTATAGAGGTATCGATCACATCCAACATGCACACTTTGAAGATTGCCCGTTCGTGAAAATCGTCTCCGGTGTATTTTGTTTTTTTTTTTTTCGAGATTTTACTCCATCCAACCCTTCTCTTTTAATATCTTTGAAAATGGCTAACCCATCTAACATTTACTTAGATTTGAGTCTCAGCAGTGATACAGGCGCGCCGCGTCAAGGTAATATATGGTGCCCGTCTTTTTTATCTTCCAATGGCCCTCTTACAGGTGAAGACTCCGTGATGAGGGATGCCACAACGGCTACGGTAGTAGCTAGGAACTTCCTCACTCCTAGAGATAATAGGTTGCTTTCAAGATGGTCCGATGAGTTGGCCGTTCAAGAGTCCCTAGCTCTCAGTGTTCGGTGTGCGGGCTTTGTATCTAACATGGGCCAATGCCTACTTGCTCGAACCCGTCAAGTTGAATCATTGACAGCGGAGGTGGAAATTCTTAGACAAGAGGTCAAACAGCTTAAGCGCGAGAATAGAGATTTGCACATGCTTGCAAATAATTATTCGATGAGCATGAAGAGGAAGCTTGATCAGCTGCAAGAATCTAAAGGTCGGATTCAAAGTGACCATCAGAGGTTTGTGGCTTTCTTCCAAAGGCACCTTTTGCCTTCATCATTTAGCGTTCAACCAAGTATTGAGGCTTTGAATAATTTATCTTCAATGCCTCCCACTCCTGGGGTTTCGCCAAGTAGTAGGGCTTCACGTGAGCAACCTTTGTGAAGGCTCTTTTTTTTTTTTTTTTCTTTCTTTCTTTTTTTTTTTTTCTTTATTTTTTTTTTTTTTTTATTTTTTTTTACGCATTTGTAATTTCTCGGAGATATCAATAGACGGGCTTTATTTTATTCAGTATATTGTGCTAAATACAGATAAAACATATATATCACCAAGATGTGTTATTTCCTTTTTTTTCAATCACACTTTTGCAAGGTGGTGCCGTGCACCATCCTTCCCTTATTTTCTTCTTTGCAATAATTCTGTCGCCACCACCTCTTTTCCTTTTCCTTCTTGACTTGCTAACAATAGCTTGCAATTTCTTTTTGTGTGCGTGTACATTGTTCTGATGATGAGTATGACAGACTGGCACCACTGGGTTCATGGCTGCACCTCATGCGGACCATTTATTTATTTATTTATTTGCAGTCATCCTATTACATTCTTCACTGCATGCGTATTTCTGTTTGCACAGTCATCTCATTACATTCTTCACTGCATGCAGATTTCTGTTTGCACAGTCACTGCAACATTATTTGCACACTCGTTGCACTTCATTCGCTTCCATGGGTTCATGTGCACATATATATATATGTATTTATATGGGATCGAATCGTCACTGCACAACCATTGCACAGCCACTGCATTGCTTGCTTTCTTACATCCCGACTGCCCTGTCCTGCAATCCTGCATTGCCGGTAACTGCATGCACTACTTCCTCGCTACACTGCATTCTCCACGTCTGCTGCCCGTTGAGCTGGGTGCTAGACCAAAAAGGGTGGTTACAAGTGTAGGTTTGAACTGCCAAGGCGAGTTGCTTTCCACTTCTTCAACCTTTGCAGCTCTCTGTGCTATTTGTGGGAGTTCAGTTGCTGTGGATGGGAAGGAAATGAAGCAGTCACCTAGCAAGTTTCTTCGCACAGCTTTTGCTCTGTAAGGTTTATTCCTTTTAAGCTGAAGACGATTTTGATATGTACATATATATACATATATTGATTTTGACATGCACTTACATATATATATATATATATATATATATATATGCACGGACGTTGGATGTCCCATCACCATGTGTGTGTGCACCTTATATATATATATATATATATATATATATATATATAAGGTGATTGTCCCATCACTCTGTGTGGGTGCGTCTTTTATATATATATATAGGTGATTGTCTCATAGCTTGTCCCGTCACTCCATGTTTGTGCATATATATATATATATGTTGATTGTCTCATCATTGTGCGTATAAAATATGTAATGTGTGTACCCCACTAATGGATTCCTTGTTGTGATGCTACGATTCTTCGTTTTTTTTTTTTTTTTTTGGGGAAGGCAGAGCATGATGCTAGGACCATCTTGAAGTTTCCAAAGGTGTGGTAGCTGGTGGCAGAGTGGGCAGGATTGCAGGTGTACATATGCTTTCTGCTGCCTAGTGTTTGTGCAAGAGACTGCAACGAGGGTTCCGCTGTGTAGTGCATTTTGATCACAAT